ACACAACGGACTCTTGGCTATGGTATTAGACGTGGGAATTTGTACTATCTTGATTTGGTCACTACAAACAATCATATACCTGGTCAAGCAAATAAGATCGAAAGGAGTCAAGGAAACAAAGATATGGCATGGTTGTGGCACCGTCGTCTTGGTCATCTATCATTTAATTATCTTCACAAATTGAAACCACGTTTGTTTTTACATACAAATTCTAAGTTTCATTGTGACATTTTTGAAATGGCAAAGAGCCATCGAATTCCTTATCTACCTAGTTATAATAAGAGTACTACACCTTTTATGACTATCCACTCTGATGTTTGGGGACCTGCTCAAGTTCCTACTTTGTCTGGTGCTCGTTATTTTGTGACATTTATTGATTAGTGTACTCGTATGAGTTGGATCTCTCTCCTAAGAAACAAGGGAGATGTTTGTTCTGTTTTCCAGGATCTATATAAAATGGTGGCTTCTCAGTATCAATGTCGAATTCAAGTTCTTCAATCTGATAATGGTGGGGAGTATATAAATTCTGATCTGGCATTTTTTTGTCAAGAAAATGGCATTCGACACCAAACCTCATGTACTGGTACACCGCAACAAAATGGTTTGGCAGAACGAAAGAATCGCCAAATACTTGAGGTTGTTCGAGCGTCCTTGTTTGGAATGAACGTGCCTCAAGAGTATTGGGGCGAAGCTGTTCGCTTTGCTGCATACCTTATCAATCGGACTCCATCACGAGTCATTGATTTCAAAACTCCATATCAAAAACTCCATGAACTTGTCCAAGCACCAATTGGTTCAAATTTGGAATCACGCGTGTTTGGTTGTACTGCATATGTCCACCAGGTTACAGGCAAGCTAGATCCACGTGCTATCCGCTGCATATTTGTTGAATACGCAGATTTCAAAAAAGGATATCGGTGCTATGATCCTAATAAAAACAAAATGTATGTAACTCGAGATGTTACATTCCATGAAGATCTTCCTTTTTCGGTGGTCGTGAGTGCTCTCTTCAGGGGGAGACAACACTTGATTTAGGTGAAGACAACACTCATGAGGTTTTTCAGGAACAATCACAAATTGAAACTGAACCAAATGTTGATTTGTTGAATAATACACATCCTGAGGTTGTTGGTGGCTCTCATGAGAATCAAGATAGTACAATTTCCCAAGGCACACCAACAGCCATAGAAACTCCGAATGTGTCTCCTCAGGTAACATCATTACCTTCATCCCCTGTAATACATGAGTCAAGTCCTCTTAAAGCTGAACCAAGATATCCGATTAGGATAAACAGAGGGATTCCAAAAAATCAATATGATGCTGATTTTAAAGCTAAGACTAAATATCCCATTAACAATTATACCTCTTCTCATCGTTTGTCAAAATCTCATGCACTTGTTGTAACTCAATTATCCCCTGTATCTATTCCAAGTAATGTGCAGGAAGCATTGATGGATTCAAAATGGAAGAAAGCTATGAATGATGAAATGGAAGCCTTGCAGAAAAATCATACATGGGAGCTTGTATCGCTGCCCGGTGGGAAAAGAACAGTAGGATGCAGGTGGATTTTTACAGTTAAACTCAATCCCAATGGAGTCATAGACCGGTACAAGGCAAGACTTGTTGCTAAAGGGTATACACATAAGTACGGAATTGATTATGGGGATACATTTGCTCCTGTAGCAAAAATAAATACCATACGAGTACTTATTTCCATAGTAGCCAATCAAGAGTGGCCACTGCGACAGTTTGACGTTAAAAATGCTTTTCTCAATGGAACTCTGAATGAAGAAATATACATGGATCCTCCTCCAGGCATAAACTGTGGTGGCAAAGTATGCAAGCTAAGAAGGGCCTTATACGGATTGAAGCAATCCCCTCGAGCATGGTTTGGAAGGCTCTCAACTTTCATGAAAAAGAATGGATATAAACAAAGTGATGCAGATCATACACTTTTCATCAAGCAAGTTTTTAAAAAGGTGACTGCTCTTATTGTGTATGTTGATGATATGGTTGTCACAGGAAATGACTCAAATGAGATAGCTGCCCTCCAAGAAAGCCTTGCGACTGAGTTTGAACTTAAAGATCTTGGGCACCTGAAATATTTCTTAGGCATTGAAGTTGCAAGATCGAGCAACGGAATCTCTCTTTGCCAACGAAAGTATGTGCTGGATTTACTAGCAGAAACTGGTATGCTGGACTATAAACCCATTGAAACTCCTATTGAGATTAATCACAAGTTAGCCATTCAACAAGACCAAACTCCAACCAATAAGGAGAGGTACCAAAGATTAGTTGGGAGACTAATATACTTATTGCATACGCGTCCTGACATTGCGTATGCTGTGAGCATTGTAAGTCAATTCATGCATGCACCAAGTGAAGATCATATGGAGGCTGTTTACCGGATCCTGCGATACCTAAAATCTTCTCCAGGAAAAGGATTATTTTTTGCTAAAAAAAGAAATCTAGAAATCAAAGGGTATACAGATGCAGATTGGGCTAGAAGTCAAACTGATCGAAAGTCTACATCAGGGTATTTCACATTTGTTGGAAGCAATCTGGTAACATGGCGAAGCAAGAAACAAAAAGTTGTAGCAAGATCAAGTGCAGAGGCAGAATTTCGTGGAATGGCACAAGGTATCTGTGAATTGCTATGGATAAAACGCATTGTACAAGATCTCGGTATATGTCTGTCAAAACCTATGATGTTATTATGTGATAACAAGGCGTCCATAGCAATTGTAAATAATCCTGTTCAGCATGACAGAACCAAACATGTGGAAGTTGATCGACACTTCATCAAAAATCATCTTGACAAGGGTACAATTAGTCTTCCGTTTGTCACATCAAAAGATCAACTAGCAGAGGTTCTAACAAAGGCTGTATCTGGAAACGAGTTTCAAAGCTCACTTAACAAGTTGGGAATGATAGACATATATTCACCAACTTGAGGGGGAGTGTTGACGCAAGCAATTTAAGGAGCAAAATCTGCTGTCAAATTTAGCAGATTGTGTAAATATTTCATTTCCTTATTTGTAATTAATTGTCTTGTGTTTAGGCTGTAATATAGGATCTTGATGTACCCCAATTAGTATATATATAGGCTGTAATAGCTTAAAAGATATAAAAAATATAAGAACGATTATCCATCATCTTTTTTACACCACTGCCAAAAGCTCCTTTGAAATACTGTAAAGGTCTGACAAGCCTTGTTTTTCTATTTATCCATTATTTTCATGAAAATAGTGTTATTTTGTTTTCATGTAGTATGATTTTTTTTTTGGCTTGCTTATTGATTTTGGTTGGAAGGTGAATGTTGTTTGAATGAGTATGTATTGAATGTTATTACATAAGAAATTTTTTCACATGATTGCTTTTAAATCCTATAAAAGACTTTTTTTTTTTTGTGGCCAAAAACCCATCAGTGAAAATGCCCCAATAACAACTTCAGCTAGAGGGAAGAATCTGGTGACTATGCACATTCAAAAGAGGAAAACCGAGCCTCTGAGTTATCTGGCAAAATGACAGAAGTTTTGACAGATTTTTTGTGGTTCGTGTTTCTTTTTGTTTTTGCTGCTTTTCTGCATTTTTCTTTAAAATTTCAGTGTGTATTGTGTGTTCGTGTGTGGCACGAGAGAGGTAATTCTGGCCAGTCGTGATTCGTGAAGGACCTCTTTTTTTTTTTGTCAAAAGTGAAGGACCTCTTCGGTTATTGAATTTGTGCTGATGCCCTGATGTCCAACGTGTTACTGCTGGTTACTCTCTCTGGTGAAAAGACAAGATTTATTTATTCTTAGAAATCTATTACGATGATGATATACATCTCATCATCTGCTGAAGGCTTGGTGGTTGTATATTAACAATAGGTACTTTGACTGAATACCAGCACTCAATTCTACTGTTGGTGAACAATTTTATTATATCATAGTTTTGAGGCACTGTTTTAAGCCAGAGTTAATATTTCAACAACTAGGATTACGTTGTGGGAAAAAGAAATATTTTTGGGGACTGTGGACTATGATGTGGCATGAAGATTGATTTGAGCATGGAGCAATGATAATTCTAATACCTGGATGTATCTACAGATGCATTTCTTATGGAAATTTCCCATTTGCATTTTGATTTTAAGCTGGATTACTAGGATACTTTACATGTAACTTGAACCGCTGTATTTACGCTTGCTGTTCTGCTTTTTTTTTTTTTTGGGTGGTTCTCTTTGTAACCTTATATGTAAAGCTGCATGCCTAATGTGAATTAATGAGAAATACGCATTATTTAAAAAGCAACCAATGCAGGATTCTTCTTTCTGTGTGCTCTACTCTGAAAAGATATGAGACATCCTGTGTCTTAAGCTAGTTAATCTTTGCTTTTGCTTCTTTACACCCTAATACTGTTAAGTCTTTGGAAAACAGGGGCAAAGTACAGAGACCATGTATCTTGCATTGATGTTATGGAGAAATAAAAAGCATGTTGTTCCGTGGATTGTCTTATTATCGCAACCCTACATTAAATCGTTGTCACCACAACATGAGAATATGTACTTTGTGCTTGTAGGGAAGAATAGGCTTGTAACTTTCTTAAGTGTGACATAATAGTTTAGTGAATGCATTATCTGTGATAGTTGTAGACTAGATTTTACAGGCAGTGCATTTGATATGAGTTGGGATTACTTGTTGGGAAATGTTTGGGCAAAAAATCTTTTTCTTAAAAGAACATCTTGGATTTGGGGTGATTGAATTTCAAGTTTGGAGAGGGGTGCTTGAAAGTTGATTATGCTTCTTTCTATGTTGACTTCTGTGAGGAATACAAAGAAGAATGGAGTGTTTTTCTGTTATTATTCAAGAAGGTTTATTCTTCTACTTAATTTTCTTTTAACAACCCTCCTGAAGGGCACTAAGTAAATTCATTTTTTAAAACTCCAAGCATTGCATACTAATTTGTTCAAAGAATGTATTTTATGAAACATTTTATGTGACAAGCATGTGTTTCCACGGCTGATGTTATTCGTGACTGTCGATATACATGTATTTAAGGCAAATTTCCTCTTGTTTGCTATTCCTCCCCTGGCCATTTCTTGCATTCAGCAAATCTTAGTAGCCACCGTTTCATTTGGCATAAATGTAGGTATTTGCAGCCACAATAAGACTAAAGATGGACACCATTCCAGATACTATGGTTTATGTAAGTTTTCATTGGACCAAGCAAAGCTTGCTTTAGATAGCCTTGAAGTGCCTGTTGGTTGTACCATTGTGAATGAAGGGAATAATGTTATTGCCTCTGGAAGAAATCGAACCACTGAGAGCCAAAATGCTACAAGGCATGTGGAGATGGAAGCGATAGATGTCCTGCTGGACCAGTGGCGAAAAAATGGACTTCGGAAAACTGGACTTTCAAAGGCTCAAGTTGCTGATAAGTTTTCAATCTGCACCCTTTACGTCACATGCGAGCTGTGCATAATATGTGCTGCAGCCTTATTCATTCTGGGAATAAAACAAGTATATTATGGTTGTGCGAATGATAAATTTGGAGGATGCAGATCTATATTGTCACTGCATTCTGGTAGCATTCAGACTCCCACTGGTTTTAGAGACCACACTAGGAAGGGTTTCAAGTGCCAAGGAGGAATAATGGCATCAGAGGCAATCTCTCTTCTACGGACTTTCAAGGGACAAGTATCTCCTTGAGCCTTATAGACCACCATGTTAATTGGTTTAGAAATATAAGTTTCTGATTTAGGTCAATGGATGTGCACTTTTGTTGGCTAATGAGCTCCTAAAATGATACCCCTGTAATCATGGTGTTTGGAAACCATTGCTTTAGTAAGTTCTGAAGTAAAGCATTATGTGCCTTTTAATTGCCTTCTATATGCGTCTTTCTTTGAAGTTTTCATTTGACATTTGTAACTAAGTAATTTTGTAGATAAAAAGCCTACAATTAGATACAGTGAGTTAATTGCTAATTTTAAGACAAAGAAAACGGTTGCATTGTAGTATCATCTTATGAAGCATCTAGATGCATATGAAAATGCGGGTAGGGCTCTGCATGTTCAAGATCTACATTTAACAAACTCATTACAGAGCTATCCCGGGCAAAGCAATTCTTTCTTCAGTTAGCTTAATTGCAATTTACTTGCTCAGAAAGAAGCTTAATTGCAATTTAGTTATTCAGAGATCAATAAAAGCATGTTAAATGCTATTGTAAATTAGGAATGCATATACAAGTTGGTAAATCTTCCTGAGGCTCTTTCGTAAATCAGCAGGCCCAAGAATAATATCAGTCCTTGTCATTTGGTTGGATACATCAACTAAAACCATCCCATAACTTCTCATTGGTTTAATAGAATTTATCACTGTTATATCCTATGCCCTCTTCTTGCTTGGAGATTTGCTTCATTTCCTGCAAATGTTCTCTCGAATGTTTATCACCACTAGCACTCACCAGAGAAAGGACATAACAGCATCTCGTGTACAGCGTTTGCCATTAAAGGAAAAAAAAAAAGGGACAGGGCACCAGTCTGTGCTTACACGTACTGCACTTCCAAGTTTAAGTATAGGTCTAAATTCATCCTGAAAGATCAAATCCAAAGTTTAGCTGAAAAATTTTTAACATATTTAGATCCCCTTGTCAAGATGCTGTCTCAGAATGGCACCGGTAATTTAAACTATGCTTTGTGAGATAGCCAGATAGGCCGCCTATACACGCCCGGTCCAAGCTGTTGGTGTTGACAAGACTTCCTTCTGTTCCCTCCCAGGCATGTATTTTTATTCGTGTACTGGTCATCTAGGATTCTGACATTTTTTTTTCTCCGTTGAATTAGATACATGGTTAAACAAATTTTTCGTCCATGTATCCTGTCTCATTGTTGCTGTAGGAGATGTTCTGTCTTAATTATGCTTATTTAAGCATGATTATTTAATAATCATGCTTAACTAGTGTTGGGTCTACATAGAGGTGTCAAAATCAATGTTTTGAAAATCGGACCGAACCGGCCGGTTCGACCGGTCGAACCGCGAATCGGCTATGGCACCGGTCCGGTTCAATGCCATAGTTGACTTTGTCAGAAAACCAGTCAAGAATCGGTCGAGCCGTAAAAATTGCGATTGAACCAGTTTTCAACCTTCCTCTTTTTTTTTTCTTTTTCTTTTTTTTTTTTTTTGCAAAATGCAGCTATCAAGATTCGAACTCAAGACCTTTGTAATAGAAAACCAATGTATTAACCATTGCGCCATCACATCTTATTAGTTTTTTTGATAACTTAATTATATAAAGCAAACACTTATATTTTTTTTTCATTTTTCTTACAAAATCTCATACTCTCATGGCTCTTTCTTTTTAATTTTCAACTCTCTCTCCCTCTCTCTCTAACCTCTTTTTTTTTGTCACTCCCTTTTTAATCAAACCTCTTTATTTTTAATTTATTGATGTTTTCTTCCATCTTTTAATTTTGTTTTTGTCCATTAAATTGAAAAAAGTTAAAAAAGAATTATTTTTTTAACCCAAATTATTTAATGCTATAACCACTCACTTTTATCTCATTTTTTGTTTCTTATCAAGTTTACATTTCTATTTTCGATTTTCTTGACTTCCTTCGAACTCCAAACTTCCTTTTTTAAATTGCAATCTCTAAAACGTAAATTAAAATTTAAGTTCACAATATCTAAATTCTCATAGACGTGAATTTTGTATAATTTCAAAATATTGTGATATTTTTGGGTTGGATTTAGATATAATTAAAATTGAGATGAAATTTATTTGTTTTAACTTATAATTTTAAAAAAATCCAAGTTATTAAAAAATAGTAAACCTTTCATCATATAAAGTATTAAATTAATCCATTACATGTCTTATTTTGTACATATATATATTTATATAAATAATTTTTAAAAAAATTCATTGAACCGAGGTTGAACCGGTCCGACCGGTTGAACCTCGACCCTTTCACTTCACTGGTTCAATTAACGGTCCGATTTTTAAAACATAGGTCAAAATGGGTGACTTGGGCCGGTTTGAATTGGATAAAATGGGTAATGGATATAAATGAGTCAACCCATTTATACCCATTTAATTAGATGGGTATAAATGGATAAGTCAAAAAATGAATTAGGTAACCCAATTACCCATTTATAACCCATTTATTTTAATTTTTTGTAAACTCATTTAAATTCATTTTTGCAAACTAAGTTATCAATTTATACCGCTCTTTGTACCCATCATTAGTTTTAAATATTTACTTATAATACTCAATAAGCATAATTACAATTTTTTTTCCATTTATACTCTATGTCACAAAATTACATATTATTTAATAATTGAATAATAAGAATAAAAAATTTTGAACTAAGTACTATAAAAGTTAATATAAAAACTTAATTCAAAAATTTTGAACCCCTAACATTTTTTTCATATATAAATTTAAATTTTTATTTTAGAAAGATAAAAAAGAGGCTAAAACTTATCATAAATTGGTAATGCTAAAAAATGATCAAGTTAACAAACTAAGAGAAAATAAAATAATAAAATAAAACCAACAAATAATAATAATAATAAGAGCAAATTATCCGGTTGGCCATTAAACTTTTGCGATCGTCGAGTTTTGGTCACTCAACTTTTAAAGATCTAGTTTTGGCCACTAAATTGTATAAAGATGAGACGCGAGCCCATTCTGTTACATTTAGCCGTTAAGTACTTTGATCTGTCCGTTAGAGTGGTTTCCAAGACAAAAGACAGGGTCTTTTTAGGAAGTTCAAAATAGCACTTCTTCTTCTTTTTGCATAAACCTAAAGAAGGCAAATTCACCCGAGAAACTACAAGAGAGAAGGAAATGGAAGAAGCCTAGCTTGGAGCGCTGAACTCCGGCGATCTGGTCCCGGCGATTGACATAATGCAGTATAACATTTGGAGCTCAAGGCCCATGAACTCGTTCGCATCTGCTACAAGGACTACTTCTCTAGCTTTCACTTTTTTTTTCCTTTTCCAACCACTCGATTCGACCTTTCCATATAGACAGGTCATTGGTCCATTAGCATGGTGGAGAAACCAAGAAATCATTTTTATCCCTGGAAGATGCTATTGCAACCCAAGATGCAGTTTAATCAGAATTGATCGGAAAGGTTCGGAAAAATTCTAATCAGAATTAGATCAAAAAGGTTAAAAGACAAAAATAATTCTAATTCTGGCCAAATCCTTCATGTCTATTCTTCCTGAATTATCCTAATTTTCGACAAGCATTTTCCAGATAGGAAACTGATTTCAAGCTTTATCCACACCCATCCTTGCACCGGCAGCCACATCCAAAGTCCAGATGGAAGAAACAGAGTGGAAAAAGCAGATGCAGAAACTTAACTTTGAAACTTGTACACATTTTTTTCCCAGCCCACAGTAAAAAGGTACAGGTGTATGCCGTAATAATCCAAGTGGACACCGCTCAATCTTCAGATCTATCTGCCATTGTAGATTATGCTGCAAAGCTCCCATAACAATTTGATTTAAATGATGGGTCACCCCACAAAGGTTTTGACGCAGGGCATAAAATTACCCCTCTGGCTTTCAAAGTAGAACGACTTCTCCGGGATGGCGGTCTTGGCATTTGCAGGTGCAGCGAAGAATTTGACGCTCGGAAATCCACTGGTGGCGTTGGAGGAGTGATGCCTGCGGTGGATGAAAATGGTCTGACGAAGATTTGAGGAGGGGAGGAAGAAAAGCGACAATTTTTGAGAGAAGCATTGAATGCTACCATGAACTTCCTAAAAAGACCCTGTCTTTTGTCTTGGAAACCACGCTAACAGACAGATCAAAGAACTTAACGGCTAAATGTAACAGAATGGTCTCGCGTCTCATCTTTATACAGTTTAGTGGCCAAAACCAGACCTTTAAAAGTTGAGTGACCAAAACTCGACGATCGCAAAAGTTTAATGGCCAACCGGATAATTTGCTCTAATAATAATGAAACAAAAGTAGTTAACATCATGACAAAATGAAAAATTTGAAAAAAAAAAAGGTGCGGGAAGAGAAGAGACTTGGGGGAAGAGAATTCTAAATGGGTTAATTGGATTTGATGGGTTATCCAATAATACCCATTTATTATTGGGTAATCCATTTATACCCATATATAAAAATTTAAAATACCCATACCTAGGGTTGGAGCTGAACCAAGCAGTTCGGCTCGAGCTCGCGAGCTACTTGGTCAGTAGCTCGACCTCGAGCTCGATTGACCAAGCTCGATCTCGAGCTCGAGCTGCTCGTTAGAGCTATCGAGTCGAGTTCGATCTTGGAAATATGATACTCGAGAGCTCGACGAGCTCTATCGAACTTTTTATAATATATATTTTAATTTTTATTATTGTGAAATGTCAATAATATTATTTATTTAAAATTATATATAAAATATTAATTTTTATTACTTGAGCTTAATGAGGCTTAATTGAGCTCGAATAAGCTTGATTGAACTTGATTTGAATTAATTACATTTAATTAAACTCGAGCTCGAGTTCTATAAATTGATGTCGAGCTCGAGCTTAGTTATTTTGCCTCGAGTCGAGCTTGAGTAGTTCGCTACTCGAGCTCGGCTCGACTCAACAACAGCCCTACCCATACCCATCTATTCATGGGCGGATATGGATAAATTTAATTAAGTGATAGGTACCGTATCCATGTACCCCATAAAAAAGTTTTTCTATAGGATTAT